TTCACCAACCTTGTCTATCATTTTCCCTCTCTCCTACTCACTCCAGCCCCACTAACCTTTCTTCTAACAGGAGATCAAGGTCTTTTTCATTTAGGGACCTTCATGTTCCCTATCTATCTTGCTTGAAAAATCATCCTTGAAGTTCTTCAGATGGCTCAATTCTATATGCCAGATCTCAGTTCACATAGCATCTCCTCAGAGGTTTTCACTGAAACATCCATCTAAGATGTGTTCATTCCACACAGTTCCATCCTGAACAATGAATAACACGCTATTTATTGTTTCAGCATGCTGTTTATTAGCTATTTAGTGTTTATCAGAGTATGTGTTTATTGTTTTAATTTGTGTTTGTGTCTGTCATTTCCACTAGAATGGACAATCTATGAGGCAGGGGCCTGTTTGTCCAATTAGGTTGCAAATCCCTCTACTTAAATGATATTCTGCCTATATAGTAGGTGCTCAAAATACATATTGAATGACAGAATGGATAACTCAAATGTTTTTTTTTTTAAGATTTATTTTATTTATGCATACAAGAACTGGGATGCAGGACAGAGGTGTGGGGAGTGAGAGGGTTCACCAGAGAGAGTGGGGAACAGAGCAGGCAGATCTACTGAAATACACTGCTGATGGGGAGCAGCGGGTGAGACAGGAGAGGTCTGCTGTGCCATGTGGGTAGCTCCCTGGCCGGGGATCGAACTCATGCTGCAATGGCTATTGATAGCTTGATAGCACTGAGACTTCAACCCCTGTGCCACAAGGGAGGCCCAACTCAAACGTTCTTTTATTACTTAATGACTGGAATATATTCAAATGTCAGGAGCTCAGAATTGCCTGGGTTTGCAGATGTGGGATTACTATAGGACTCTTTTGGATGCAAATTTTGGACACTCAAATTGAAAATGGTTCAAGGAAAAATGTATCTCCTCATATGCCCATCAACAGAGTGGACAAACAAATTTATAAGCAATCAAAATTTACAAGTTATAATTATACGTAATAGTACAGAAAAGGGCCTCCTGGTGGCGCAGCGGCAGAGCACTGGGTTGCGAAGCTGTCCGCACGCAGCCTCTGCAGCGCTGGTTCCATCCCCGGCCACTGGGCGAGGGTTCCACATGGCGTGCAGACCTCTCCTGCCACCCGCTGCTCCCCTCAGCAGTGTACTTCGTCAGTCTGCCTGTTCTGCTCTGGCTCTGGTGAATTCTCTCACCCTCGCACGCTTCTGACTGTACCCAGTGCTTGTATAAATAAATAAATAAATCTTAAAAAAAAATAGTTCAGAAGAAACCCACTTAATATTGAGTGAAAGAAGTCAGACACCAGACTATAGACTGCCTAGATCATTTCTATGTGGTAGAAAAACAAGCAAAACTAATCTGTGCTGTTAAAAGTCAAAGTAGTAGTTACACTCAGAGGGGAGAGTTAGCAGTTGAAAGGGAGTATATGGGAGACTTATGGGATACTGATAATGTTTGATTTCATGAATGGAGGAGTGCTGGTTCCACAGGTATGTTTTGCTTGTGAAAACTCATTAAGCAATACTTATGATATTTGCACTTTTCTTTTTCTACACTATACTGCAACAAAAATCTCTCTTTTAAGAGTTTGTTGGCTGGGCCTGTGTTCATTGTATCAGTTATTGTTGTTTTGTAACAAATCACCCCAAAGTAGTCATGTAAAATAACCCTTTCACTATGCACACAGATTCTGTGGTCAGAAATTCAAAAAAACAGAGTACAGCAGGTCCCCAAGTAATGTTGTTTCCAATATCCTTTTTTATGTTTCTCCTTGATGAGAAAAAACACAATCCTGGCAGATGTGGGAGGAAATAGCAAGGATACCTTGTTTCACTTAAAGTTGCAGTTTGCAAGAACCTCACTTGATGAGGACTTTGCAGTGGAGATTGCCCAATATGTCTGGGGCCTCAGCTGCAAAGTCTCAAAAGGCTGATGATTGGGGCCTCCCTGGTGGCACAAGGGGTGAAGACGCAACCTATGAAGCTGTCCACAGCCTCTGCAGCATGAGTTTGATCCCAGACTGGCCGGGGAGCTACCCACATGGCGCAGCAGACCTCTCCTGACTCGCCTGCTGGTCCCCTCAGCAGTGTATTTCAGTCAATCTGCCTGTTCTGCTCCCCACTCTGTCTCTGGTGAATCCTGTCACTCCCTGCACCTTTGGCCTGTACCCCAGTTCTTGTATGCATAAATAAATAAATCTTTAAAAAAAACAGATTTATTTTATTTATTTATGCATACAAGAGCTGGGGTATAGGCCAGAGGTTGGGGGAGAGGGGCTGTGAGAGGACTCACCAGAGACAAGAGTGGGGAGCAGAACAGGCAGATCTGCTGAAATACCGTGCTGAGGGGAGCAGCAGACGAGCCAGGAGAGGTCTGCTGCACCATGTGGGCAGCTACCTGGCCAGGGACCCAACTCAGCCTGCTGTGGCTGCAGATAGCTTCACAGTGCTGCTACTTAACCTCTTGTGCCACCAGGGAGGCCCCAATCCATGTCTTTTAAAGAAAAGCTCAACGCTCACTCTTATAGCCTTTTTTTTGCATCTGTGTGACACAGTTCTGGTCAGAGAAATATAAGCAGAAATCTTCTGGGGGGGGGGGCCGCCCTGGTGGCTCATGGATGCAATCTATGAATCTATCCGCAGCCACTGCAGCACGAGTTTGATCCCCGGCCAGGGAACTACCCACATGGTGCCGCAGACCTCTCCTGGCTCGCCCACTGCTCCCCTCAGCAGTGTATTTCAGTCAGTCTGCCTGTTCTGCTCTCCAGTCTGTTTCTGGTGAATCCTCTCACCCCCCCCCCACACCTCTGGCCTGTACCCCAGTTCTTGTATGCATAAATAAAATAAATATTTTTTAAAAAGAAATCTTCTGGGGAACTGTGACAGGAAGAGAAATAGGAAATTGAATAAGAAAATGATGGCTTAAATAGGAAAATGATGCTTTGAATAGGAAAACGATGTACGGCATGGAGGCAGCCTGCCGTATTGTGACCCTCAGGAAAAAGCAAAGAGCTTTGCAGACACACGGCCTTGGTATCATTGAACCTTGAACCACTGCAGCTGTCTACCTCCAGGCTCTCTACCCAGTGAGAAAAATAAGCTCTTATTTGTTTAAGTAACTGATACTCAAGCTTTCTGTTTCTTGTTGCTGCTAACCCTCTTCTTGACCCCCCTGTTCCTCCACATTCTCCCTTCTGCCTCCTCCTTTACAAAGAAATCAAGTCGTCAGCTGGCCATTCTCACTTTCTTGCCACCAAGTCTACCCACTTACCTGCCTCCAAAGCCTTCCTCCCCTCCCATGGTAACAAAAGAGGGGTCCCCTATTTCATGGATGAATGGGAATATTGGGGGTGAATGGCACCCTATCAGTCTCAGGTCCATTTTACATTTTTCTTCCAGTTTTGGTTTTCTGACTCATCCTGTTCTGGGTTTCTGTTACTCATCAGTTCTGCGGCGGTAAACAGGCCATTAAAGTAGCAACGATCTTATCAGTGGGTTCTAAGCTGTGTCCAGTGCAGGCCCTGCACTCGGCACTGGGGTTGCCTGGGTCAGGAAAGAGACACAGTCCAAACAGAAAGAACTATTTACAAGGCAGGGGTACGGGGCATCGGAGGAACTGAAAAAATCACCCTGCGGCTGGCAGGGCAGCGTGCAGGCAGGGCTTCTGGGCAGGGCTGCAGAGGAAGGGGTGGGCATGGCCAGCTGGGTGCTATGAACTGGGTTTAAATCTAAATCATGGGGACAGGAAGGGAATTCACCTGAAATTTTCCTGCTTCGGGAAAATATGTTTTAGATCCTATGCTGAGTTCTCCGTCTCTGTACTCGTTTGAGATTTCTGTAAAGGTGAGACCCGGTAATTTTCTGGTTTTGTCTCCCCAAGCACCTAGCACAAGGCAGGCACTTCATACACGCCGGCTGCAGGAGTAAAGGAGAAGGTGGAGCCCTTGTCAGTTACTCAGTCAGTTGGTTTGCCCCTTCTTTTGGGTCCCTCCCTCCCTTCCCTGCTCTTCTGTGCTCCCTTCCCCTCCCCTGCCCTGCCCTCCCCTCGCCTCCCTTGTCCTGACCCCTCCCTTTCCTGAACTCCCCCTCCCTCCCAGTTCACCTTAACCTCCCACCCCACCAACTCCTGCCTTCCCTCTCCTCCCCTGCCTTCCCCTCTCCCCTGCCTTCCCCTCTCCTCCCCTGCCCTCCCCTCTCCTCCCCTGCCTTCCCCTCTCCTCCCCTGCCCTCCCCTCTCCTCCCCTGCCCTCCCCCTCCTCCCCTGCCCTCCCCTCCCCTCCCAGTTCCCCTTCACCTCCTGCCCCCCCTCCCCTGCCCTCCCCCGCTTGCCCTCCCCTTCTCTCCTTTGCCCTCCCCTCCCAGTTCCCCTTCACCTCCCACCCTGCCCTCCCCTGCTCTCCTCTCCCCTGCCCTCCCCTCCCTTCTCTTCCCCTCCTCTCCCTTGCCCTCCCCTCCCTCCCCTACCCTCCTGTCCCCTGCCCTGCCTCCCAGTTCCCCTTCACCTCCCACCCCTCCCTCCCCTGCTCTCCTCTCCCCTGCCCTCCCCTGCCCTCCCTCCCTCCCCCTCCCCTCCTCTCTCCCTGCCCCCCTTCCCCTCCCTTCCCAGTGCCCCCCTTCCCGCCCCCCTCCCCTCCTGCCCGCCCTCCCCTCCTGCCCGCCCTCCCCTCCTCTCCCCTGCCCTCCCCGCCCGCCCCGCCCTTCCCAATTCCCCTTAGCCTCCCGCCCCGCCCCCTCCCGCCCTTCTCCCCCCGCCCCTCCCGCCCCGCCCTCGCGCGGTGTCGCGCCGGCGGGCCGGGTGCTTTACGGCAGCGCGCGGCGCGGCGCGGCGGGGCGGGGCGGGGCGGGGCGCGCTCGGCGGCGCGGGGCGCGGGCGGCTGCACAGACGCGGCGCGGGCGGGCGGCGGCGGCCGAGCTCGCCGGGCGGAGGGAGCGAGTCGCCGCGCGCAGGAGCAGGAGCGGGAGGCCGCGCCCGCCGCCGCCAGGCCGCCGCCGCCGCGCGCCCGGCCGGCATGCAGCTCACGGTGTACTGCGTGCGGAGGGACCTCTCCGAGGTGACCTTCTCGCTGCAGGTCGACGCCGACTTCGAGCTGCACAACTTCCGCGCGCTGTGCGAGCTCGAGTCCGGCATCCCCGCCGCCGAGAGCCAGGTACGCGGGCCGCGGCCTCGGGCGCCGCCGCGGGGCCTCCCCGCCCTGGGCCCGGGCGGCGCGGGGGGGCCGGGGCCGAGCCCGGCCGGTCCCCGCGGGCGGGAGGCGCCGGGGCCGCCGGCCGCCCACTCAGCCCGGGCGCGGGCGGGGGGCCGGGCCGGGCGGGGGCCCACCCGGCGCGGGCCCGGGGCGCGGGGACCCCCGAGGGGCGCCGTCCGCGGCGGAGGGGCCCCCCACTCCCGCGCTCCGGCTGCGGCGCCTCTTGGGGTCCCGAGTTGAGGAGGTCGCCGCGGCCCGGGAGGCAGCCCTGGGCTGTGAGAGTTGGGGCGTCCTGCGCCCCAACCAGACAGACCAGTTCGGGTCACGGTGGTGGCTGGTGTCCGCCTGCCGCTGGAGAGGAGCCCTGCGGGAGCCGGCGCTGAACTGCCCTGAAATGTACAGATTTGCGCTTTAGGGGAGCAAGGAAAGTTTGAGACTTGCCCTACCTGGTGTGGAGGCCATTGGGAATGTTCTCTCTTCACGACCACATGCGTTTCTGGTTTTTTTTTTTAAGGCAATTATTGATTCAACTCAAACTGTTTCTCCTTTCTTCCCTGGTAGGATCCTGAAATCCCTCTTCATTCAGGTTACAGTTCAGAGTTTGGGTCAGTGCAAACCTCAGTTTATGAGGATCTTTCTTGCAAATGGCCTGGTAATCTTCTCGGTAACTTGGTTGTCTCATTCTCCTGCCCGTCTGGGAAGAAGTTCAGCTGCCCTGACATTTTAATTAAGTAATTTATTTTCAAAATACGTTGGGACTGCCACCAAAAAGACTTAGGAAGACGTCTGTAGCCTTCACGCTGAAACCTTTCAATCGTGGCTTGATCAGTGGGGCCTTTCAGGACATAGTCTAAACATTAGGGAAATTATAGAAGTCCTCCAACGCCCCAAAATGTAAATCTAGATTTCCCTATTGCAGTTATGAAATAGTTCCAAAAGCTATTGCCCAACTACTGCTCGTTCTGCCCTTTGTTAAGATAAATAAATGTGTCAATATTTTGTTCAGAAGTGGGTATGATGCCTTTCTCTATGTGAACTTTAGAACTTTGGCATAATGCTGAGTATCAAGAAAGAATTTATTTCAGAGTGCAAAGTGTCACTCAGATACGCAGTCTGGTAAAAGTTAGAGACATTGGTTAAAGGGTTGTTTTTTCTAGCAACTTCTGTAAAAAGCTAATCCACAAACTCTGGCACCAGTTCCTCGTCAGTGAATCCCTCAAGTGTAGAACTAGGAGAGGACAATTAGGCTGACTTTAGTAGGGAGAACCAACCCTTTTTGAACGTGACTTTTTCACTGGTTCTTTCCCTACTATGCTTCAGGCACTGATAATAATCAGCCGCTGGTTGGAGAAATAAAATATTAAAGTGGAAATTGATTTGGTTGTTATTGGGGCTAAGGAAAAGATAAAGATTGAGCTTGTCTTTATTCCTGCACTTTTTGAGATGGCAGAAACAAATAATTAAAGAGGGCATTAGCCTGAAAGAATTAATTGCATGGTCAGGGCAGGCACTGTCCTCTGCCAGCTTGGGAGGCTAATTGAACAATTAGGCTAGCTCCAAATTCTTATTCATTAGGTCGAGTTTTGGCATTTACTGACTTCCCAAAGCAAATTAGCATATGGAAACCTGGGCTCCAACTAGTGCTAAGCCTGTATTATATAGCAGTAAGCCGCTCCTGTTTTTCGAGTTTGTTCTGTTGGCGCCATTGTAACCTAACACAGTATCTATTTTAGGATGTCTGGTGGTCGGTTTTCTTTCAGTTGCTTGCCCATCAGGCAGGAACAGGATCCACCCTAGACACTTGAGTCATTTCCTTTCACCAAAACATAATAGTAAACATCATTATAGTTTTTACCCGCAAATATAACTTCTTCATTTACTTGAGGTCCTTCTCCCCACCTGTACCTCCCAGGGTTCTCCCATATTACTCACCCTCCCTTGTCTGGAAATTCTGGTCTGTTGATCTCACTCCTTTTACTTACCATCTCCCTTCTTCCTTCACCTCCATTTCTAAAAGGAATATTTTTTTTCTGGCTATTCTTTTCCTGTCCCTTGGTGTTAGGACCTTCAATCTGCTAAGTTTTTTTCAGTCATGGATCCTCAGTAAACGTTTTAGAATGTACATCTTTGTGAAGTACATTTTATATATTTATATATATATATATGAGAACTAATATATGTATTAAATATGTGCCTATAAGTGATACACTGAACATCAGTTACGTCCTATACATGAAGTAATACCTTACATACATTGTAAACAGGCATGAGTAAAATGCAAGGAAAGATGAGTTACAATAAATGAAAATGAAAGTTATATTTTCTGGTTCCTTCCTACAGCCTTAAGAAATTGCCTCATATGCCTGCCCCACATTAAGGATCACTGGTTTAGAATTTGGTCACATCATTCTTATCAATTGAGCATAAGCATACACTTGGAAAGGTGTTAATTTTTAATAGCTCTAGTCAGATTATAGTAGTTATAATGCAGTGGTAACAAATTTAGAATAGAAACCCTCACTCCTCATACATGTGATTAAAGCTGGGCATGCTCCAGCTCTTCATGGGAGCGTGGGCCTGGACGCCAGTCATGCCTTGCTTTGATGCTTTGATGCAGAGTTGGCTTGGTGAACTTCAAACAGCTATCAGAACTTAGCTTCATTTTAATTAATGTCTTTGCATTTTTGAAACATCGTTATACTTTACCCCTGTAGGTGGCATGTGGTTAAAAAAAAAAAAAAAGTGTACAGAATGTGTAAAGACTCTCAAAGGCTTATTTAAATACTCAGTAATAGCAGTAACTCTCTGAACCTGGTGATACAGTTCTGCATGCTGTGGGACTTGTTTGTAAAACAGTATTTTAGCGCATTGGGAACTGAAGTTTCCTACTGTAGCTGGTTTTGACTTGTTAATTTTTCAGGTGATTTTTGTGTATTTTTTCCTCACAAATACTACATTTTGTACATAACTTGTAACATAAACAAAGAATAAAGAAGAATACAATCACGTGTTAATAATGGAGAGATAACGATAGTTTACTTAATGTATTTTTCTAAGCTTCCCCCCCTTTTTATAGTTATAATCTATCTTTCACACAGGATGGCCTAAAGTATATAAACAATTTCATATTTTACTTTCTTCAGTCAACACTGCATTATCAGCAGTTTTCCCATAACATTTCAGATTCTTCAAATTTATGATTTCAGTGGGCACCGTAGCAGTTTAACAGTTTCCCTACTGCTGGACATCTGAATTGGAGGAAATTGGAAGCAATGAATGAGTAGCATGCTCATGGATACCTATATATTTAAGGGTTTGTCCCTATTTCTGATTATTTTCTCAGGGAAAATGCTTAGCTATGGAATTGTGAAGTATTTTGAACGGCTACTAGTAACCATAACCACATTATCCTCCAGAGGGCTGTGAAAGTCAGACTGGTATATAGGATCCTATATGTAGACTACTTGGCGTATAGTATGCCCTCAGCTCACGGTAGATACCATTATGAAGCTCTTTAGATACGATTTCAAGGGTTTTGTGGCCAGTGTCTGGTCCTTGGTGCTAGAAATGTATGGTCAAATTTTCTGTTGGTTGAAGGTACTCATTAAGAGACCAGAAAACATTTGCCATCATGCTTACAGGTTTTGAATTGCATTAATTAGTCGATTGTTAATCGTTGGTTAAGATTAGAATTCAGTCTCCAGGGTGCCTCCTCTGGGGTAAGTACAGCAGTTGTGCCAGCTCTGCAGATTAAGACTTGGGGCAGTATAAATTTTCCTGTTGTGTGTTCATGTAACTGGCAAAACTTGGCATTTGTTTTGAGCTTTCTGGCCTTTGAAATCAGCATAATAAGTGTGGAAAGCATCACCTGTGTCACTACCAAAACTCATTTCGGTTTGACTAGTAGAAATTTTAGACCGTTGGTATAGTAGCCACTCAATTTAAGCTAGAAACCATTCAGATTTATTTTGGGACTTAAGCTTCAGAATAATTGTTTTTCTTAGACTCTTAAACCTATCCTCACAAAATGAAATCAGGGTTTTTGGTGGGAATTATAATTTCAGCTAGGCCTTTGTTTATCTCGCTTGTGTTCTGGGACTAAAATGGAATACCTGCCTACTGCTTTGTCAGTGGAAAAACTATTTGCTCTTTACTCATGTTTTCCAGTCTAGTATTTTTGGGGGCAGATAATAGTGTTTCAAATACATGCTTGATGTTTGTGGTTATCTGGATCTTAGCTCTTAGTATTGCTATATCAGGCTGCACGCTTTTTAAACATTATAATGTCTGTGGAAGAAATACTGTGTTAACTGAACAGTTAGATGAAATGGGAATCCAGAGAGTGAGGATTTGGTAGTTGTTCCTTTCTTCATGTTCAGGGCAGGCGCCATGTTGAGCTGTGGATGGTGTTTTGATCCTGCTGTGGGTATATCCCCTTTGTGGTGAATGGACAACTTAACACTTCTGATGGCTCCCAGCTAATTCACCAGGCTACTTTGGGACTTCAGATTGGGGAAGTTGTACCCGGAACTAGGGAAAAGTACTTCTGGATTTTAAAGTAAGGATTGTGATTCCATTCCCAGTTCTCTTTTTAATATCAGTAGCTGTGTAGTCTCAGGTCACGTAACCCTGCATCTGTTTCTTTGTCCAAAAATGAGACACATGATGCCTTCCTCATAAAATGAACGTGAAACTTACATGAGCGGATACAAGGGTTAAGTGGGAACTGAGAGAATCTAATGTGCTGCCTCTTGGTAGAAGGTCAGTGGTAGCTGTCTGCTATTATAATATGGCTGTCCAGGTTTTATTAAGGTAACTACACGGTGTTGATGCCGTCTTGTGAGAGCTGCCTCTAAGGCATTTCCTGGCATGGCTCTTCTTTCCTGCCATACATCTTGACCTGTGACACTTGCCACTTCAGATTTCTGGTGCTTTTTCCAAGCAGTCCCACAAGTGATTATGAGTCTGTGGTTATATTTCACACAGTCAATTGATTTTGGTGTACTTCTGCTATGGGCTACAGTGTGAATGGTTTGATAGTGTGACAGAATCTGTTGTAACTTGTTTTAACTTTTCAGGTTGAGAGTAGGAACTAACAATATTTTCTCTAGTAGTATGATTGAACCTACAAGCTTTCTGAATCATCCTTTGCTCATCAGAATTACTTGGTTTTGGAGGGAAGTAGATTCCTGCAAAGTTCTGGTCCTCATGTCAGTGCAAATTCTGAGAGCAGTCATACTAGAATCATTTTTCTTTTCCAGTTTAAGTGCAGTGCTTTTTAGGTTCTGTGTCAGGCAGTCTTGCTATGAGAGCTATGAAGAAACATGAGGAAATATTATAAATGGTAATGTAGCAGAGCAACCTGGAAGGGAAGCAGGGATGATTTTCTAGCTCCACCTCCTAGCTTGACAAATGGGAAATGTGAATTCAGGAAGAAAACCTTTCAAAGCCTGAATTCACTGTGAGCACCCCTCTGAGTGTATACCAGCACGGGGTCGGTTTCTGTTCCTTCCCAGGAAATCACAGCAGGCCCTAGGTGTTCCTCCTTTCACTGCTTTTTTTGCTCAGGCTTTCTTCCTGTTTGATTGCCCATCATAAAGATATTTTTATTAGGGGTACAGCCCTGATCCTTTTTTTCTGTTTGCTCTGTTCTGAATTTCTTCCACTTTTATCTTCTACTCATAAAGATAAGAGTGGTAAAATATGGCAGGATGGTAGAGGGGAAGGGAGAATGAGGAGGGTGTTATTTGGAAACCTTTTAAACCTGCTGTTGTACAAGATCATTGGAAGGTGGACAAGTTGAAATGTAGTAATGGACAGTGTGTGACTAAGGTTAACAATACTGTATCCCATACTTGAAAGTTGCTAAGAGAGTGATATCATCACAAGAAAAAAATTGTGACTTTGCAAGATGATGGATGTTGACTTACTATGTATCACTTACCAATATTACGTTGTATGTATCTCAATAAAGGAGGTATATACATTATTTAATAAAAAAGTTAATATACCCAGAATAAATCATTCCCATCCCCCTCTCAAAATTGAACCTAAAAATATCCACTGCTGGGCCTCCCTGGGTTAAGACGCAACCTATGGAGCTATCCAGAGCCATTGCAGCACGGAGTACGATCCCTGGCCAGGGAGCTACCCACTTGGCGCAACAGACTTCTCCTGATTCACCCGCTGTGTATTTCGGTAGATCTGCCTGTTCTGCTCCCCAGTCGGTCTCTGGTGAATCCTCTCACCCCACGCTCCTCTGGCCTGTGCCCCGGTTCTTGTATGCATAAATAAATAAATCTTTATTTTAAAAAAAAATCCACTGCTTCCACAAACTCCTCTGTCCTTTGGGTCAACAAATGCTTGGGCATTATTTATCTAGCAGGCTGGTTAGACATTTGGGATATGACCAACAAAACAGTGTCCTGATTTTCAAATAGCTTACATTTTAATAGGGCAGAAAAACAAGAAACTAATATATTTGTGGAGAGGGTACATTTTAGGGTGGTGTTAGGGGTCAGATTGTTTGGACCTAGTGAGTAGGAAAGGATCGGGTTTTAGGTGTGCCAGAAACCCTTGGAGAATGTTGAACTGGGAGTGGCATGAGCTGATGAAGAGGGAAATTGTGGTCTTTCTGCTCTGAACCATTTTACTTCATGGTGCATTAATACTGTCACATCTTTTCTGTGCTAGATTGTCTATGCGGAAAGACCTCTCACAGACAACCACAGATCGCTGGCTTCTTACGGCTTGAAAGATGGAGATGTTGTGATTTTACGACAGAAGGAGAATGCGGACTCTCGCCCTCCAGTGCAGTTCCCAAGTAAGACAGTTGATGACTGGCATTCCTTGGCACAGGCGGCAGCAGCTGGCATAGCATGGTGGTCCGGAGCTTTGGATTTGCTTTGGGTCAGCCTACTAGGGGCATGTTACGATTCTGCCTCCTGATGCTGTGTTACCTTGGACGAATTATTTAACTTTGCTCAAACAGTTTCCTCGTCTGTTAGGTACCAAATTTAACCCAACTCCTAGAGTCGATGTAAGAATAATGCATGTTTAAATCTTGAGCAAATAGCAAGCCCTTAACATTTCAGCTTCTGTTACTATCTTTGGGAAGGACTTGAGGGGCTATTGATGCCTGTGATTCCTGGCTGCCTTTTGCTGCTTTGTGTTTCAGCTTGTGGGGCATTTTATAGTCATCTGAGCACTTGCACCATATTCTGTGTGCTCTCATAACTCTGTTGTAGGGGAGGAGATCACTCTTTTAATTTATCATTGACAGAGGAAGAAGCTCTGGGTTTAAATAATGTCTTCAGAGCCACACACAGCTAATGCATGGAAGCACACAAATTAAAAGTTGGTGCTTTTTCCATGACATTGAGTTTTATTAACATTAAGTTGCTGGTCCACCAAATTCTGGTTCTTTCCTATAAGCAGTGTTAATTGTGTTTTTAAAAAAACTGGTATCCTGTTACCTATCATAATGCTCCATCCAAGAATAGGTATTTATAATCTGGAATCTGTGTCTCTGAAATAATCTGCAGGATTGTGTGGGAGTGTGTGCATTTGATGGGGAGGCGGTAGCTTTCTCCATATACTCAGAGACATACATGATCTGCAAAAAATTTACAAAGTTATAATGTGGAACTGCTTCATGAAATGTATTCCTTGTTCTCATTCCCTGCCACATTCTGATAGGTTCCCTTAAAAAGTGTTCAGTCTCTAGGTCACTTGGTTTCAAAGTTTATAGTAAAAGGTGATAAGTGTCTGGATGATGACAGACTCCAGCTTAGAACACAGTGCTGTCATTCAGCCTGAAACAGGGTCTATAAGAGACCATCCAGCACTGATCCTCCCAGGTCTGGATTAATCCATCCCTTGAGGCTACTATTAAACTTTCAAGAGTTGTGATTCAGATATGCCAATCAGTAGAAACCAACTCTTCCTTTGGTAAATTTAGTGAGGTGGTTAGCTCTGTAGAGGCACTTTTTCCCTGCACTGTCCCATATGGACAGGACAGCCGGATGGGGAGGGGACTTCATCTCTATGGTAAACAAATTTTTCAAAATTACTCTGCAGTGAATGGACTCGCAAGATAAGTGTCACAGGGCTGGAGATAAAATTTCTCCACTCACAACAAAGGCCATTCCATATGTTTTGCTAGTCTGTACATCATAAGGACCATGCCCTTACTTAACCAAAATTGTTTGGGAGTTCATACTTGTGTGTATATACACGCACATACTAGCTGCCAGCTGAAGTCTATTTGAAGAAAGTGACTAGTTGAACCAATGCTAAGAGGCAGAAACCTTACACCTGAATTTGAGCATTCCCTTCTATTTGAGGTCCCCAAGGCTTCCGCATAGCCCCAGACTTGGGACAAGTGTGACTATCAGCTACATTTTGGGGATTAAAGACATGTGAATTCAGTCCTGGTCCCTCATTTCTGTCTCTTTCTTTTTAAAGATTTGCTTTTTTTTTAATTTATGTGTACAAGAACTGGGGTCTGGACCAGAGTTGTAGGCACATAAGAGGATTCACCAGAGACAGAGTGGGGAGCAGAACAGGCGGATTGACTGAAATACACTGTTGAGAGGAGCAGCAGGAGAGACAGGAGAGGTGTGCTGTGCCATGTGGGTTATCATGCCGTAGTGGCTGGAGATTGCTTGATAGCACTGACTTTAACCCTTGCATCACAGTGAGGGGAGGGGGAGCTTTATTTTTTCCTTTTTACTTTTTTAAAACTTTTCAAAATAACACCTTTATTGAGATATTCATATACCATGCAATTCACTCACTTTAAAGGTACAATTCAGTGATTTCAGTATATTCAGAGATGTGTAGCTACCATCCTACAATCAATCTTAGCACATTTTCATCACCTTGAAAGGAAACTCTGTACCCATTAGCATTCATTTCCCATTTGCCCCCAAGCTGCCTAGCCCTAGGCAACCATCGGTCTACTATGTGTCTTCATGTATTTCCCTGTTCTGGACATTTCATGTAAATCATACAATACTTGGTTCCTTTCCGTAAAGCTCTTTTATTTTCCTTTCATTTTAATAAGGTTAGCTCAACCTGAAATCTAGAACCTGGAAGTTGTGGCCTCCGAGCTGTTGTATCTTTTGGTGTGTTCACAGTGAGAACCTGTGCAAGTGCCTCTGGTTTTCTGTCCTGTAATGTGACTACACCTGCTCGCTCCCCAGGCACGAGGAGTGTTAGCTCAGATGAAAGTATAAATTCAAAGATCTTTCAAGAACCTCTCCAAACCAGTATTTTCAGTATAGACTTGTAGAGTTTAAATCTGATATTTGTTCTGTTCACTTTATATGCACAGCATTCTTTACCTAAGGTATCAGGGCTTTTTGAAGCATAAACCAGAACAGACTAGGATTTTTCTTAAGAACCGCATCCAAATGAATGCAGTAACATCTATTGATACTAGTTTTAGGGTTTTTTAAAACATGAATAAATAAAAAAAATCTGGGATATAAGCCAAAAATTCAGGGTTACTGCCTTTATCCCTTCTCCCCCCTTTCCTGCTCTTTCCTACCTGTTCGTCCAGACTGCCATCTTAATATCAAATCAGCACGAAACAGCAGCGGGGAGAGGGCACTAGGAGGTCTGTGATGTCCATTCCGACTGTTATATACTGTGCAAAAGCAAATGTTCTGCTGTTTCCTTCAAATGCTTGTTTTTATGGAGTCATTTGAAGTAAACTTTGAATCGATTTTCCCAACAGATCTACCCCGAATAGACTTCCGTAGTATAGCTGTGCCTGGCACATCCAGCTCCCGGCAGCGCCAGCCACCAGGAGCACAGCAGCCCCACTCATCTCCTGGAGAAATAGCTTCATCTCCTCAGGGTTTGGACAATCCAGCCTTGCTCAGAGACATGTTGCTGGCCAACCCCCATGAGCTGTCCTTGCTGAAGGAACGCAACCCACCCCTGGCAGATGCTCTGCTCAGTGGAGATCTTGGTAAGCTCGTCCATCTGGCAGCCCCTCGAGCTGCCCTCAGGTGAAGGAGTTGTGGCACAGCTACTTCGGGAGAAATACGGAGAAACTCAAGCAACTGTTGTCTTCAACCCAGCATGTTGGTTTATTGAGCATACCAACTGGTCTGTGAGAGATAAACTAGTGCTGCTATCTAAAAGGCTGAGTTAACTGGCAGTAGCGATAAAACTTTAGGACTGCATACTGTTCTGAATCCCATAGACCAGCTCCCTTGTTTACAAGTTTGTCTTTTTGGCAGCACACAACCCAGGTACTGCTGTTTTAGCCTGTGTAGTTAGATCTGTCAATGAAAGAGAGCACCAGGAAACCAGCTGATGCCTGGTGAAATGCTTCTAGTTCCAAAAAACAGGTCCAGTAACATCAGCCTGTACAGCACAATCAACCCCTCCAGTCTCATCCACCCCAAATTTGACAGGTTGTTGCCAGCAGTTTGTTTGGAGCTGCATTTGAACCATTCTTTTAATAAACCAAAGATTTCTTTTTAGTTATCTTTTTTTTTTTGTGGGACCCTCGCCGGTGGCCAGGGAACGAACCGGCTCCGCAGAGGCTTCGGGCAGCCTCGCAGCCCAGCGCTCAACCACTGCGCCACCAGGGGAGGCCCTCTTTTTAGTTATCTTTATGAATAAAGTTTTCTTTGTAAATTTCTTCAATTTTACTCTTAGCTTATAAAGTTGTACTGATTAAATTTTAAAACCTAACAGACACTTAATAGTTCATTCCCCACAGTTGACCTTTTTCTTCACCACATTATTGAGGTCATTTTTTAAATTGAAGTAATATTTACATACAGAGAAATATGCAGATTCTAAATAGACAATTTGTTGCATTTTGACAGACTCATGTAACCACCACTCCCATCAAAATAGAGAGCATTTCTCTCCAGAAAGTTCTTGTGTTCTCTTCTAGCCAGCTTCTTCCTGATAGCATGATAGAGGAGTTTGCCTAGTTTTCAACCTCATGTAAATGGATTCATACAGTATCCTCTCTCGTGTCAGGCTGCTTTCACTCAGTGTTTTTTAGATTCATCCATTTTGTGTGTGCTAGTAGTTCACATGATCATTATCTTGGTTTCTTTAATGTCCAATGCAGCATATCTAATTGCCAAAGACCACGATGATGACACATGTCAAGTTTGTGCATGTAACTGCACCCTCATTTAAGAAATAGCAAAATAAAGGCTCATGTTGCAACATCTTAAAGCAAGCAATGTGTTTTCATTACTGACTTTCCTGCCTATTATCCTTCTGGTAATACAGAAAGGCTAGCAGTACTTTACGCTTAGTTTTTCTCCTTTAAGGCAGAGAGTGTTATAACGGAAATGGGGACTGCAGTGTTGTATCTTATTCCCAGGTAAAAGGATAATGGGGGAATGGCGAGGGGAGAGATAGTCATTCCCCACTGGTTTAAATGGAAAAGTCATCTCTGAGTACAACCAATATAATGAATAACTCCTTACTAGAATAAGTTATTTTTGCAAATACTTTCTTTACACTGAATTTAGCTCAGAAATTAGTCTTACTCAGAACGGAAAGTAAATGTAATTGCTCATTTGAAATAATTTTTAAGTCATCCTCTCTGTATCTCTTAAAGTTGTATTTTGAGAGGTTATGTGATGTGGGACAATATTAATAAAAATGAAAATATTGTGGTACTTAAGGTTTCCCCCTTATTTTTGTAGAGAAATTTTCCAGGGTCCTGGTGGAGCAGCAGCAGGATCGAGCCCGGAGAGAGCAAGAAAGAATTCGTCTCTTTTCTGCTGATCCATTTGATCTCGAAGCTCAGGCCAAGATAGAAGAGGATATAAGGTAATGACCCCTTTGCCTAAAAGTGTGGGGTTTCCAAGCACCGGTCATTTTGTGTTGGTTTGGAGTCAGCTTTTGAGGTCACTTCCTTATTTTGCATTTGCGATAGTAACGTCAGTCCTTTAGGTTATTCTCTTCTGTTTTCCTTGTGCTTTGACTCAGCATTACAAAGGTGCAGCTACCTAAATTAATGAACTTTTAAAGTTTTCATAAACGCTCCCTGACTAGCCCATCAATAAAGGGCCTCCAAGTAGAGATGACCCAGGACTGAGCTAAAGCCCTCAGCTGGTGAGCCTCCTGGGTTGGCCACACAGGCTGATTGAAATCTCTCCCCTTAGACGTATAAGCTCTGATCAATCTGGGGCTTGAACAGGATTGGATTAGTCAGCTGCCCAAAGGGAACCTTGTAGTCCTGAGTCTATTTTCCTTTTGCAATTCTTGCACTGGCCTCAGTGGATACACTGACTGCTGGACATTGCCAACTCCAATTTCTCCAGTGCTGTGGGTCTTTCCTGGAGTACAGTCTTACCTGCAGTAAAATCACATGAGAAGCTTAATACCTGGGCTCCACTCAAATCTTATGAATCAAAATCTACAAGGGTAGGGCACCCGCAGATATGATGCCATACCAACCTTGGTTCCTTACTAGCCACAAGCAGGACGTTGTTCTGTCACCCCCTCTGAATGTTGAAAAGAACAGCTGCCCCTCACAGTGCACCCTCACCCCAATTCAGTTTTTGTTGCAAATTGTGAAGGCCTTTGTATACAAGAACAACATAACTAATGATACTTTTGGGGTCTCTGTCATCATCCTTGAAAGAAATCTAACTTGGTTCTTATATTTTACTGCCAACTTAAAGTCAAATAATGTTTCTCTGACCACCTTAGAAATCAAAGAACAGTAATTCTAAGCCAGGATCAATTAATAGTCTTAGACCATTCTTAAGTGTTCCCATCAGTTGTGTCAGATATTAATGAATCTCTTTGAGAAACATCTCACTGATTAAATATACCCAGAGAAATAGGGGATAAAACTTGTGTTTTCTGAGCCAAACCATTTGCGGTTATATGGAAGATCTGACAATTTTCAAGAATAGCTTTGTTCAACCCAGGAAGCAGAAGCGGGGGAGGAGGGAGCGTGGAGAGGCATCGTAGCCAACCCTGGACACTGAGCTGTTGGAGACCAGCAGTGAAATGAAGCGTACCCAAAGGGCTTGTGGGGTGAAGGAAATGGGGTAATGCAGGCATTTAATGGGGAAAACCTGTGCCTCTGAAGAGGCACTGTGCACAAATCCCAGAGTAGCCAGGTTAACTGGTTCTAGCTCAGATTTTTTTTTTTCCTGAAAACTTATCTTGGAGTCACGTAAAGATGAGGAGTGCATAACTTATTTTAAGTTATTTCTGAATTTAATAATGTGGCCTAGGAGAAAAGTTGTGTGTTTATACGCCAAATGCCCATCATAGTACGCTATGATCACACGTTATATGCACACTGAGGTGTAACAGTGTGTGCGTTTGCCAGACTTGATCAAGCGTTCCTTTGACTTTCTGAGAAGCTTAGTATTTTACTACAGAATGACTGATAAAACCATGCCTTCAGTTGAGCCAGAGTATTACTAGCTAAAGGAAAGGTGCTACAGTTTAGGGCCAGAGTCAAACAAACTTTCCGTGCTGGGCCAGACAGTATCTATCCTAATCTTTTCAGGCCACATTCTCTCCAGTGCTCAGCACTGCCCCCGCAGCCCCGGGTCACACCCAGGATGGAAGTGAATGGTGAGCGTGGAGTTTCATAAACACTCACCGACACAGAGTGGGCTGTAGTTTGCCAATCACTTAGAGTTGTAATTTAGCCCCAAATCTTGGACCTTGTTCTGTTAATGTCCCAGTCTTCAGGTTCGCTGCCCAAGCTCTAGTCCATTTATGATCATGGAGTTTGGTGAGGATGTTGGGAATGAAGGTATGAGGTGTTAGAGTAAGCTGGAACTCTTCTTTCATATGCTTTTCTCATTGTAAGAATTAAAATAGGCCTCCCCAGTGGCGCAGTGGGTTGAGAGCAGTGCTGTGAAGCTGTCCGCAGCCTCTGCAGCACGGCAGACCTCTCCTGTCTCGCCTGCTGCTCCCCTCAGCAGTGTATTTCAACCAGTCTGCCTGTTCTGCTCCCCACTCTGTCTCTGGTGAATCCTCTCACCCTCCTGCATCTCTGGCCTGTACCCAAGTTCTTGTATAAAAATAAATCTTTTTAAAAAAAAAAGAATTAAAATATGTTCAGTTTTTGAAGAACTCATTTGATGTACCAGGTGAACTGTGATACATGTGCGTGTGTGTGTGTGTGTGTGTGTGTGGTTTAAGTGATAGGTAGATAGATACATGCATGTTTATTTTCTTCTTTAGATATATATAGTTTTGAGCATATATACTAGATGCTATATGCCTTTAAACAGTCTTATAATAGGGATTGTTTTCCTCATTTTACAGATTAGAAAACCCCCTTTTGGAGATTAAGCAGCAGATGTAGCACAAGCAGTTGAAACATCTGTGTATTATATTTGTAAACTTCTTAATACACTGTACATAGGACATTTACCCAGATACCCAATAAATCCTTGGTTAAAATTGGCACATTCATGCAGTTTTGACATTCTACAGGATAAAGAGAATTATCACCCTTACTCTCCAGAAGTTTATTTCCTATTTCTCAGCTTGTCAAAGGACTGTAATTGTTGGACATGAAGGTAATTTGTGTCCCTTTAGATTTTCTGCCCATTGGGTAATATCTCACTGCCTCCTGCTGAATCTGCCCTAATCCTGCTGCAGGGCAGAGCACCATTTCCCGTTACCGTGACTCAGCTGCTATGGTTGGCGCAAAAGATACGTACAAATCTGTTTTTAATGTTGTTACTTGAAACAGATTTCTCTTCATGGAAATGATGCTTTTAGTGTACCTGGTTTTGGTTTGTTACAGGCAACAGAACATTGAGGAAAACATGACAATAGCTATGGAAGAGGCTCCGGAAAGTTTTGGCCAAGTAGTGATGCTTTATATTAACTGCAAAGTGAATGGACATCCTGTGAAAGCCTTTGTTGACTCAGGTGACGTCTCCATCTTTTGTGTCTCTGTCTCTCCATCCAGTATTCTGACCTGACACAGGAAGACGGGGAGACTCTGGTGTCCATTAAGGACGCATTCGTCCTCTGGATGGCTAACTGGCAAGCCTGGCTGCTGTGGTTTCGCTTGCCAGTCTTTTATTGTTTAATTTTACTTTAATCATTTCTTAACTAGTTTTGTATTTTTCAGTGTCTACTTTATTTTCCTACCTCCCCTTACTTGGCATCCTGAATTTGTAGGATACCACTTAGAAATTAGGGAATAAAAATATTCCCAATATTGGGAAAAATAATTTAGAAAGAGGAGGAATAGAGAGTGTATTTCAAATATATAGTATTTGGTATATACACATTAAGTCCTCCTTCAGCCTGGCCTGTGTGCCAGCACATTGCAGGAGCTATGAGGGGGTAGAAGGGTCAGCGGGCAGGGAGCTTCAGATAATCCCCATGTTCCTTGGCACCTTTTCTCTTAGTAACTCACTGCTTTGGAAAGAGACCAGACCGAGCAGCACCATGTAAGTGTGATTGAGTGGTCTTTTGTGTCTTAATCCGGGCATCTCAGTCAAGACTGTAAGATAGGGTGAGTTCCTAGAATAGTAAAAGCCCCTGCGCAAGTAAATTTTCATCCATTTGTTCATCCACCAGCTTGAACCACATGCTTGGTTTCATCCATCTCCATCATGAAGTTTTTATGTAGAGATGCACAGCCTCCTGGGAGAAGTAAATCTGCTGATCACTCAGTTTTTTAAGTGTGTGTTGGGTGCCACCTGTAGGGCCTTGTGCCGAGCACCTCTGTGGGCCCCATATGAGTGAGACAAATACAGAAGAGGGCCTGACCTGGCTCTCTGCACTCGTTGAGCCCTTGGTGCAAGTGCCAAGCACCGTGTTGGGTCCTCAGGGTGTGTCTTACTCGATTTCATTTAATTCTAGGGAATCCATAGAAGCCATGTTCTACTATTACCCTACTATTACGTTTTACAGATGAGGTAGTTTAGATGTAGAGAAGTAAAGTCATTTTTTTTTTTTAGGCATACACAATTCATGAGTGGTGGACAGGATTCAGCCTCGATCTGTGTAGAACTCGGGTGCATGTTGGATGAACCTAGATACCACATTCTCAGCTTGAGGTGCTCAGGCATGGCCTCCCTAAGGAGAAGATATTTGAACTAGGCTTTCTTCCTGGGCAGAGGATTGGGGCTTGGAGCTGAGGAAAGATGGAGAGCAGAGAAAGGGGCTTCTCTCAACCTGGGGTTACTTATGTTTCACATCAGTAAATAGCTGTGGGGAGCAGTGAGGGGAGGGAGGAAGAAGAGAGAACTGCCTTCCCACATGTTCTTTTCCTTCATTATTTCTGGGCCTTCTTGAATCTGACCTTCTTCAAATGTCAAGAGCTTTCAGTGCCTCTAACTCTAACACCTACAGTGAAGAACAGGAAGTGCCTGGGGTGAAAACCAAATGGGCCTCCCGATGCAGCTGCAGGGCCTGTCTGCAGTGGAGAAACATGGTGTGTCCCTTGAGTGGAAGTGCTCAGTAGGAGTTGGGAAGAACAAGAGAAGAGGAAGAGGAGAGGGGATGGAAATCAGGGAGGGGGTGAACTGACCCCCAACAGGCCATATGGGGACATGCAGGATGTGCATCTGCCAGCCCAGGAGCCAGGCTTCACCCGACCCTGCTGTAGTGATACCTTGATCTTGGACTTACAGCTTCCAGAACTGTGAGAAATAAATTCCTATTGCTTAAAAACAAAACAAAAACCAGGGAGTATTGGAGTTGAAAAGGAGGAGAGCGATCAGCAGAAAGCACTGGCAGTTGGGGAGGAGAGAAGCAGGGCTTGAGCTGGGCCTTAAAGCCTGAATGGAAGCCAGAGAAAGTGATGGGTAAGGGCCTCTCTGGGAGGCTCAGAGTGTGTCACAGGCAAAGGGTAAGGTGGAGGGCTTAATAAAAGCTGGGGTCTGAGTCAGTTCAGCTGCTGTAATAAAACCCAACACCGATTTCTCATACTTCTGGAGTCTGGTGCGTCCAGGATCAGGGCACAACCATATTCTGTGGTTAAGGATCTCCCTGATTGTTAGATGACTGTGTTTTCTCTGTCCTCACATGGGGAAGGGCAAGGGTACACCCTGGGGCCTCTCATAAGGGCACTAACCTCACTCGTGAGGCCCCACCGCATGACCTCCCAGAAGCCCCACTTCCTAATGCCCCTCACATTGGGTGAGGTTTTGACACAGGGAACATACTCAGTCTGTAGCAGCTGGAAATAGTTGGGCCAGGATATGGTGGACTCTGAGGCGGTGGTGATGTGTTTGAAACTGATCTTAAAGGTAGGATCCATGGAGGATTTTTGAGCAGATGCATAATGGATCTGAAGAAGGTAGTACTTGAAGAGTACTGGAGGCAGTGACAGTTCTGGAAAATTCTGTGCCCTAGGGGTCAGAAATGTTTCCCTGCTTGAAAAAAAAGTATGTGGAGTGGTTTGGAAACCACAGAAGTCATTCACCCACTGGTCAGGGGATTAGAGTATGAGTGAGTCTGACTACTGTGCTTAGAAGGAGGGAGGTAAGAAATAGCAGATACTGCACTGAATTTATTAACAGGATTGGAACAGATTTGAGAGAGGGGAAATGACTAAAAGAAGGAATGAAGGCCTTCCTGATGGCGCAAGGAGTTAAGTCTTTAGCACTATCAAGCTATCAGCAGCCACTGCAACATGAGTTCGATCCCTGGCCAGGGAGCCGACCCACATGGCGTAGCAGACCCCTCCTGTCTCCCCGCTGCTCCCCTCAGCAGTGTATTTTGGTAGATCCTCCTGTTCTGCTCCCCACTCTGTCTCTAGTGAATCTTCTTACACCACCCCACCCCACCCCACCCCTGCACCTCTGGCTTACACCTCAGTTCTTGTATGCAGAAGTAAATAAAAATAAATCTTAAGGGCCTCCCCTGGTGGCGTAGGCGGTTGAACACAGCGCCGTGAAGCTGTCTGCAGCCTCTGCAGTCCAGGTTCGATGCCGGCCAGCCAACAAGATACCCACATGGCGCGGGAGACCTTTCTGTTTCACCCACTGCTCCCGTGTATTTCAGTCAGTCTGCCTGTTCTGCTCCCGGCTCTGTCTCCGGTGAATTCTCTCACCCTCCTGCACATCTGGCCTGTACCCCAGTTCTTGTATGCATGAATAAATAAATTTTTAAAAATTAAAAAAAAAAATCTTTTAAAAAAAAAAGAATGAAAAGTGAACAATGCCAGAGTTTTATGATTGCAAGAAAATAATTCCATTGGCAGAGAGAGATCCAAAGTGAAGTTACTTGGGGAGAAAGAAATTGATACCTGTTGACTCTAAGATAGAAATGTTCAGCACACAGGAATGTGGAGCTACAGTCCAAGGGAGAGACTAGGACTGGGGGTTAAGATCAGTGTGTCTTCTGCTCAGGCCCAGCCTGACTCTCCTGTGTGGGTGAGTACAGGTAACTGGGAGAAAAAAAACCCTATATGTCCTCTTCCTGAAAGGGGGGAAGGTTTAATGGTTGGAGTAGAGAATGGGACATAAAGTTCCAATATTCGACCACAGGATGTATTTTCAGCCGATAAAATTCAGTGTCCCAGAGTTTCAAATAAAAATAACTTGCCACAGTGTCAAAAGATGAAAAAAATGAGTGTAAAGTAATATTTAGTGTTTCCACCTGTGGCCATTGTTAGACATTTTGGAAATTCCAGATAGTTTTGCTTTCTATTGGTAGTTTAATTATTATATTTAAACATTCTTTCAGTGTCACGGTTTTACACTACGTTTCAGGTGCCCGTGTGGAACTAACAGTTGAATTAAGGTGGCAGGAAATCTACTAGGCAGTAATAATTTTACACAGACAAAAGGCTTGGGGGGTGTACTTGCTTTCTGCCCTGTACTTAATGCTACATTTTTAATCTTGTCACCAAAGTGGATTTTTGTTTTTATTGTCTGATGTTTTCTTCTGCCTCCAGGTGCCCAGATGACTATTATGAGCCAGGCTTGTGCAGAAAGGTGTAATATAATGAGACTGGTGGACCGTCGGTGGGCAGGGATTGCCAAAGGAGTAGGCACCCAGAAGATTATTGGAAGGGTACATTTAGGTGAGTGAAAGACACTGGGAATCTGTAGGGTAGTGATTTTTTTTTTTTTAAGTTTCTTTTGGATGAGTACATCTGACTCAGCAAGTCTAACCCCTAGAATTTTTAAATCCTATATTCTACCAAGCAATGCTAGTACATGTTTTTGTTGATTACAGGCAGCATCATTCTGTGAAATTCTATTTCCTGCTCTTCAGAGACAATTGCTTTTTCAACTATTTTAGCTGACTTCCTTTGGTACTTATCTTCATATTTCTAAATAACATGTTCTTAGTGCTATCTGCCAGTTTGACTGTATTATAGACTATTGAGAGCTGAGCTATCTAATTGAAAATGATTGCTTTTCCTTTCATGTCTAGTTTTCATTTTTCTCAGAATTAATTATTGTGGGTTTTTTTGTTGTCGTTGGTTTTTCCTGGTAAGGAAAAGTCCCCAGATTTCCCTAGTTGTGTTCTCTCCTTTTTATACATCTCACCAGTTGAAGACTCTTGCAGCTCCTAGACAGGTGGCGCGCACGGCTGCTTTCCAGCTGTTGTTTTGGCCTCTCCTGTGACTGTGTCCTGAAGATGCCACCCCACGGGCCTTAAGTCAGATTACATGAGTCCCATTCTCTGCTCTTCCCCCCCCCCCATTTTGTTCCTTGGTTTTTTAGTGTACATCTGTTAGTAACTTCCTAAGAAAAAGTGCATGGAAGTAATTTGAGTCCTTACATATCAGAACATATAATTTTTCCCCCTGAATTCCACCAGTTTTGACTAAGTTGGAAATAATTTTCCTTCACAATTTTTGTCAATGTTGCTGTGGAGAAGCTATCTGGTTGCTATTGATCCTTTATGTGAAAGGTTTATTTTCCATTTCCAAAGCTTGTAAAATCTTCTCTTTGACCTTTATGTTTTGAAATTGCGTAATGGTGTGTCTGAATGAGGCTCTCTTTTTGTCCACTCTGCTGGGTACCTTTCAGTCTGGGAAAAATGACTCTGATGATTTCCTTCCTGTTGGGGTGTCTGTTACTCACGTAGGATAATCTCCTACCCTAGACTTGTCCTTGTGTTCTTGGTTTTGTTGTTTCTTGTGAGATTTCAGTTTTACCTTCCAGCATCTCTTTCTTAAGTTTTGTGTTTGTCTTTCATGTTAGATGGTTTTCTCAAAAGTCTGGGGATTCCCAACCTCTGCTCTTTCTGAAAAGGACACCAAAAGACTGAAGATTGCTTGGGCAGCCTTAGCGATTATGGCTGTGAGTGATCTGGAAATTGGGAGGAAGAGAAAGTGTCTCAGTAAACTTAATCCCCCTAGTGTTCAATTAGGTTGTTGAGTCCCTGTCTTCCTCCATGCCTACCTCTATTACGAGGGCCTCTGTTTCCCCCTGCTGAGAAAACAAACCCCCAATCTACTGTTGAGATGAAGGTAGATAATTACCTGGCTGACCAGAGTGCAGGAGGGAAACCCCAAGAGATAACTATGTCTACTTTTATACCACCTCTACCCCTGTTTGCAGAAGTACTTGTTTTGGCCAGTTCATAAGCCTCTTGGAAGATCTGTGTTAATGACTGGGTTGTTTCTGGGTTTTTCTTATGTCTTATGTCATCTACTTTCTGAGATTCCCAAAGATTGTATTTAGGTTGTCCCCTTCATGGTTTTTGGCCTTAAATTTCATACACTGATAAAGCATTCTGGAAAATGATTCAATGACACCCAGCAAAGTTGAGCCTAATGCCTCCTAGGACTCCCTGGTTCCACTTCCTGGAATGCACCTTCAAGAAACCCATAGTCCATGGCAGACCAGGAGACACGAACTAGCATAGTCATGGTAGTGTCTGCCTATGACAGCAGAATCTGAAAGTTACCTTTGAAGTCCCATAGCAGTGGATGGACAGCTCTGTCATGCTAGCCTAGATAGGCAGCACTCGAAGGGGTGACTCAGAGTGAAAGAGAGCCACATACGCCTGTAGAGAAATATCTCAAGATAGTTTTTGAGTAAAAGAAAGTTGGAGAAACACAAAACTATTTACAAAATGTAATGTAGAAATCATACAAAATTATAAGAACCAGGAGGAAAGCTGGGAATGATTAGTACGAATAACAGGAGAGTTGGCGGGTGGAGGAAGCAAAGACTAAGTGTGACCCACAGTACATTCAGGAGGTTTCACAGGGTCCTATTTCTTAAGCTGGGAAATAGATGCATGGATGCTAACTTTATTATGCTTTATATGCTCTTTTGTCAGTAAGATATATTTAGTAATAATAAAATCTGTTTTTAATCTTACATATGAAAAGGAGTAATGGAGGAAAAGAGACAGCAGGAGGCTACAAGCAGACAGAGGTCTTGATGTTGTCTCTGGTTTGGCAAATGGAAGCTTGTTATGAGTGGCAGTGATAAACCATTTGCTTTTTGAAGCCTAATTAAAAAGGTTAAATATGTACAGATTTTGTTTCTCTTTTAGAAAACCTTTTTTAAAAACAAGATTTATTTATGCCTGCATACGAGAGCTGGGGTATAGGCCGGAGGTGAGGGAATTCACCAGAGACAGAGTGGGGAGCAGAACAGATGGACTGACTGAAATATACGGCTGAAGGGAGCAGCAGGTGAGACAGGAGAGGTCTGCTGCGCCATAGGAAGCAAGTGGTTAACGTTGGAGGAGTTGGTGTCTCTCTTCTTTATTTGTTTATGCATAGAAGAACTGGAGGTACAGACCAGAGGTTCAGGGGGTGAGATGATTCACCAGAGACAGAATGGGAAACAGAACAGGTGGATCTACTGAAACACCCTGCTGGGGGGAGCAGAGGGCAAGGTAGGAAAGGTCTGCTGTGCCATGTGGGTCAGCTCCTTGATCGGAAATCGAACTCATGCTGCAGTGGCTGGTGACTGATTGGCAGCCTTGAGACTTAGCCCCTGTGCCACCAGGGAGGCCCTGGTGTCTCTTTTTTTATCCTTAATGCCAACTTTCCTCATCTGCTGAGCATGTGAGCAGCACACACCAAGCCAGATATCCCAGGCTGTAGTTGTGGCTGATGAGCTTCATAAGCTGGAGCCTTCATTGACTTTTTGGAACTGTCATTGGTCTCACCAGATTTTCATTCTTAAGTCACCTGTTCGCATCTTTTGCCTTGACTTTGATTGCAGGAAGCAAGGCACAGAATGATAAATACATTTACAAGCCTTCTCTGGCAGAAATCAACAACCTTTTTCTCTTTTTTTCATGTACTTTAGCTCAGGTTCAAATTGAAGGTGATTTCCTGGCGTGTTCCTTCTCTATTCTTGAGGAGCAGCCCATGGACATGCTTCTGGGGCTGGACATGCTGAAGCGGCATCAGGTAATTAAGAGCTTCCCCTTCTTGTGCTGGCCCTTCCTGTATTGTGTGGGTGGTTAGCATGTCATTCTCAGCACCACACCATGGCTGTGCATACCAGAAAACTAAGAAGTGTGCTTCTTAAACCTGTGAATGAATGTCTGTGGTTGATGATGTAGCCATACAAGATTTGAAATCATCTGTCAGTAGAAATAGAATATGATCTTGTGAAATCTCTCTGGATCTGTTAAATCTTGCCATCTGTTTTAAGATTATAATGGGTACTTTGGTTCCCTTGTGTAATTTTTTATTTCTAATTAGAACTCAAGTGATTTTTTTTTTTTTTTCTGATGGGAGCTATAAACAACACAATGATGATTTTATTGGAAGTTTGGTAAATGCTTAGTAACTGGTCAAACAATACTTAGGAAGAAATTGTGCATAAGATCTTGGAGTAGAAATCTTGTACAAGAAGAATGATATCGAAGCCTCTCTGGTGGTGCAAGGGATAAGCACTGCACTATGAAACAATCTACAGACTCTGCAGCACGAGTTTGATCCCCAGCTGGCCAGGAAGCAACCCACATGGCGAAGCAGACCTCTCCTGTCTCTCCCAGTGCTCCCCTCAGCAGTGTGTTTCAGTCAGTCTGCCTGTTCTGCTCCTCACTCTGTCTCTGGTGAATCCTCTCACCCCCTGGATCTCTGGCCTGTACCCCCAGCTCTTGTGTGCATAAATAAATAAATCTTAAAAAAAAATGATATCGAAGTAATAAATTCATTTGCAGTGATACTGTCATTTCTACTCTGTTTTTTGTTTTTGTTTTCTTTTTTGCATAGAACAACTGGGGTGTAGGCCAGAGGTATGGGGGGTGAAAAGATTCACCAGAGACAGAATGGGGAATAGAACAGGTGGATCTCCTGAAATACACTGCTGAGGGGAGCAGCAGGCAAGCCAGGAGAGGTCCGCTGCGCCATATGTGGATTAGCTCCCTGCCTTGGGATCAAACTCAAGCCACAGTGGCTGACCATAGCCTGATAGCTGAGACTTTAACCCCTGCACCACCAGGAAGGCCCATGAATGTGTATTACATTTAAATTCAGAAATGGGGCCTCCTTGGACGTGCAGGGGTTAAAGACAAGTGCTGTCAAGCTGTCGCCAACCACTGCAGCATGAGTTTGATCCCTGGCCAGGGAGCTAACCCACATGGCACGGCGGCAGACCTCTCCTGTCTCCCCACTGCTCCCCTCAGCAGTGTATTTCAGTAAATATGCCTGTTCTGCTCTTTATACACTCTGTCTTTGGTGAATCCTCTCACCTCTGGCCACACCCCAGTTCTTGTATGCTTAAATAAATAAATCTTTAAAAAAAATAAAAAATTCAGAAATGAACAGATGTTGTGTTAAACAAAAATTATATAAACTATATCCTGCAAAGATTATTCTACTACAAAGTTTGAATGTTTAAGAAGTTCTAAATTCACAATATCATATAGATGAAAGTTTAAGTATTTTCAGATAAGTAGTTCTTTTTGAACCACCTGTATCAGTGTTGCTCTTTGCAAATAGAGTTTTAAATTCAGGATTCTTATTTTTCTGCATTGCATATTATGTGCTATCATCAGTCTTTTGTTTCTTCCTTCTAAGTGTTCCATCGACCTCAAGAAAAATGTCCTGGTGATTGGCACTACAGGCTCACAGACCACCTTCCTTCCTGAGGGAGAGTTGCCAGAGTGTGCCCGGTTGGCATATGGGGCTGGGAGAGAGGAGGTGCGACCCGAGGAGATTGCAGATCAAGAACTAGCAGAAGCCCTTCAAAAATCTGTAGAGGATGCAGGTACTGGGAATGGCCGAACTTTTGAATAAATACCCTTCTTGTTGGTGGGTAAGCCAGAGGACCACAAGCTTCAGAGAGACTCAGTCCTTTCTAGCTCATTGGTCTCATTGTCCTGTCTATTGATGTGTTTCTTGTCCTCTTACCACCTTTCCCATCTCCAGATTGGATCAAGGCAAACTCCATGTCTCACCAGGTCAAGAAACAGCAGTCTGTCGCTGTGTGCTGTGTAGATTGGGGAGTTAGTTACTTAAGCACATTTTAGTAGACTTCCTAAAAGTTTGTGTCTTTCTCTTCTCTAAAGAAATTTGTAGCAGTAAGCAGATATTTCCTTTTGAACTCAACAGTATTTCTCTGAAATTTTCTTTTCCTTGTCTTAGACCATTTACTTTGAAGGGGGATGTATTGTTGTGACTTAGCAGCCCTAAAATTTTTAAAAGCTACTGAAAGTGATATTAACAAAGACAGAAGAACCAATAACAAGAAAAAATAATTCAACATTAATCAAAATAAAGTGTTTGTGCTGTTAATGAAATCACAGTAGTGTATCATCGAGCCAAAATAGAATAGTATATAGATTTGAAATGAAACTACCTAATACTTTTTTTTCTGTCTCAGTTGTAGTTTTTTTAAAGACCAAACCAAATAATCTAGGGACACAGTTTTGCTGAAATTACACTTACTTGGCTAATTTACCCCCATCTACTACAGAACAGTAGTTCTGGGTGTGTTGTCTAAAGCTGATGAAAACTGTGAAGTTTGGTTTACCTTAAAGTTTTGAGCTGTAAATATTCGTCGTGACTAACATCACACATTGCATATTTTCTGGTATAATAAATTTTGTTAGCTATGAAGTTGAAGGAATAACTTGTTCTTTTGGGGAAAAAAAAGGGGGGGAGCTTTAAAGGTAAGCATCCCTGGGCCTCCCCGGTGGCGCAGCGGGTTGAGCGCCACGCTGTGAAGCTGTCCGCAGCCTCTCCAGCGTGGGTTCGATTCCCACATGGTGCATGGCAGACCTCTCCTGCCTTGCCCTCTGATCCCCTCAGCAGTGTCTTCGGTCCTTTTGCTTGTTCTGCTCCCCGCTCTGTCTCTGGTGAATTCTCTCACCCTCCTGCGCCTCTGACTGTACCCCAGTTCTTGTATAAATAAATAAATCTTACATAAAATTGTTTTAAAAAAAATAAAGGTAAGCAGCCCTATTTTGCCCCTATCACTGGACAGCATCGAGAGGCCTAGCCTTGAGCCACTGTGAAGCACACTTGAGTTGCAAATGGAGTTTTCCAAACTGGTGTTGTCCAGAATGTACTCCACTACACCTGTTGGCCCAAATATTCATTTAAAGTACTTACGTGTGGGCCTCGCCCGTGGCGCTGCGTAGTGAAGCTGTCCGCAACCTCTGCAGCACAGGTTCAATTCCTGGACAGCCAGGGAGAAACCCACATGACATGGCAGACCTCTCCTCTCTCTCGCCCACTGCTCCCCTCAGCAGTGTCTTCAGTCCATCTGCCTGTTCTGCTCCCCACTCTCTCTGGTGAATTTTCTCACCCTCCCGTGCCTCTGGCCTGTAGCCCAGTGCTTGTATGGATAAATAAATCTTTAAAAAATAAAAATAAATAAAGTACTTAAGTGTGACTTAAGTATCTTGTAGGAAAGGGAGAATTTTGAATAGCCACACAGAACCTAAATTAAGTTTCTAATCTTGCCTGCAAGGCAAGCTTAAATGAGTCTGCCATACCTTCCTAAAGGACTTACTTTTTTAACTTGTTTGTCCACTTAGTCATAATACTATGTATTAATTAAATGAGGCTCTGTTACCATATCATGAAATCCATTTTCCCTCCACAGTTTTGGTGCTTCTGTTTGAAAACACTAATTGATGGTAGCAATGCATTCTAACCTACTAACATTTACCCTCTTTTTACCTTCTTTTAATGAAAAGGAAATTAAAATAGAAACCACAATTGTTTTTCAAGCATAGTAAAGGGGATGTAACATTTCCAAAGGATTAGCAGGAAATGGCTCTTAACCTGGGTGACCTTTTGTTACTGACAATGTGTGGCTTGAGCTAATTTTTGTAATGTTTAGTTAGTGAAACAGTTCTCTAACGTCATGTCCTAGTTGTTTGAAACATCGACTTTCTAGTATCATCAAAATAAAAACTCAATGTAGTAGATGGAAAGTAGTTTTACTAGAAGCTGTTTATTTGATGGATATTTTATACCAAAGTGTCTTGTCTTTTCTACCAACTGAAAAATAATTTGGACTAGTAACTGTAGCTGACATGTTTTCTAAAACCTAATTAAAAGACAAAGAATTTAAGCCAGGATAGATAATCAGGTTTGGTTTGTTTTTCTTCTAAAAATAAATCTCATATGAAAAGGAAATTTGGAAAGTGACTGTTATATGAGATCCTGCACCCTGCGATTCTGTCTGCAGGTCTCCTGTTCCCATCTGTCCCAGGTGTTTGCTGTGCGGGTGCTCAAAATTAATTTCTTTCCAAGTTCTAGTGAAAATCTGTTGAAATTGACATACTGCTTCATGTACATAAGAGAATGAAAGAAACTGACAAATAGTTGGATGTCCAAATTACAGCCACATCCCCCAACTTTGACACTACCAGTGCTTGATTTTAAAGCTGGCAAAGGAATGGAGACTATAACCCTGCATGCTGTGTGGTTTGCGTTGTTAACCCAAGTTTGCTTGTCTGTTTCCTAATTCAAACAGAGCGTCAGAAGCCATGATGCATGTAGTGTGTGTGTACTGCAGCTGGAGTGGGCCCCAGACCAGGTATTTATAGACAACACGTTAAGCCTTCCATCCAGTCCGTCGTCTATGGTCTGAAAGTCTCTGTATCTACAGCAGTTTTGGAATTTAGTTTCTGTCATTCACCACTTCACCTTATTTAATCTAGTTACAACTAGCCTGCGTATATGTTTGTATATGGCCATACATACATATCTAAATGTAATTTCCTACTTAAAATTGTTTCAAGATATTAAAACTGTTCAAGGGCAAAAGATTCCAGAAAAAAACTGTCTCCATCTAACCATTGTTATTATCAAATCAAGAATGTCAACATCACAGCACTCTTATTGGTGATAACTGTGTTGTTTGGGATTTTACAAGTCCCTTTCTTCGAAAAACTGGAAGTCCTTTTTTCACATTGCTGCATACAACCGCCTGGAGTTACAGAGGGCCAGGCGTTTTCATTCTGTTGAAGAAGAACTGGAAACTCAGGCCAAATGACATGTACAGGTACACTAAAGTCGGTAGCATTTTATTCCCCGACACCACAAGCTGAGAGTTTGCTTTTCTCTCTGTCCCTAGCCTGGCAGGTTTTCCACAGAATGTGCTGTTTAGTTTGCTGTCCCTGTATGTGAATGTGGTAAATCTCAGCTTGGGTATATGGGCTGATTTATCAAGAGGAAGAAAGGTGGTCTTTTAAAGTGTCAACCTGGAAATTTATAGGGATTTGCAGGCTGGTTGTAATTAGATACATGGGATTTAATTTCTTCTTTTTCCCTGTAAGGATGGGCTAAAAGCAGGCATAGTTTATTTCTTAATATCCATTATCTTCCTCCTCTTCTCCTGTCCTGTAGTACTGACCCAGACCTCCCCTGCTCACCACAGGAAGATGTGCTGCTTTCATAGTCAGTACAAAATACATTGAGGCCGTGTTCACCTTGATCTCACAACAGTAGTTGTAATGGGCATAACAGTGCCAGAAGGCCATTGTCAGACCTCCCCACGTTGCTAAGATGGGGATTTCACTACAGTGCATCTTTTCTTTTTGCAGTAACTCAGAATTGAACCCTCTTTTAGAGTCAGCCTTAGGGATTGATAAATAAAACTAATAACTCTTTCTAGACTAATTAGTATAGTTTGCACTGAGATAAATGCTGTTTTCCAGCTCATCCCTAAACCCTGAGATTGTTTCACGAGAAGTCAGTGGTGTTTTATCTTCTCCAGCTATCAAGCTGTGTTGGATTAGAATTATTTAGAGCCATTTGAATCATAACTGCACTGCCTCGTGGCTTCTTAAGTCAATATCAACCCCCACATTGGATGTTAATAACGTTCAGCATGACACATTGGCGTTGTTCTTGCGCTAATAGATATTGTGAAGTCATTTTTGTTAACAGTCTTGAGCTGAAGATCTTATATTGCATAGAGGTCAGTTTTTAACTGGATTGGTGGCAAAAGGAGAATTAAAACTGGTGTTTAATGACTTCATGGTGTCTACACTATGGTAATATTTAAGCCTGTCATCTTGTGTGAGTGAACAGTAAATTGCAATAAATCTAAATTATCATTGCCTGTCAGAAAACTGTAATGAACCATCTCCCTCCACTGTTCAGTCCCCACACCCAATTCCCTTAAAGTGTTTAAATGTGCTTTCTCTTAGATGCACTATGTGATAAAGTAGCTTTTAAAAGTTGCATTATTTGGTTAGATGATTGGGTTTAATCTGTATGATCTTTAGCTTTATTTTTATTTTCTCAATCAATGCTCACATTCAGCAAATTCATACAGAAGTATCATGTTTGCTTCTCTGTTCTCTGGAGCTTCCCAAGCATTACATTCTTTCCTCTCTTTATAACTCTCACCCTGTCCCAAATATATTTGGACTTCTCGTTTATAATATCTGTTTACATTTGAAACGCTGAATGCATTGGCAGGAGAATGAGTCTTGTGCAGAGATTCCCAAAATCACTTGAGTTTATTGAAAATGCTAATTCTTTGGTTTGTTCCTAAGGATGGGGCCCCAGAATCTGCATGCTTCGCAGATGGCCCAGGTAATTTTAGGACAAATACTGATGAGAACACACTTAGAGAAACTATTGTGGACTGCTGACCTCACTGAGAATAAAGATACACAAATGTCTGTCAGTCTTGAGCACTCACCAGCCAGTATGTGGATGCTTATTAAGTTACTCGAGTTAAAATACTGAATTATAATATGCCTGTCTTCTTAAGAACATGCTGCTGCTTTTTTCTGGTGCTGTGATGTTAAATTGTCTACCACAGTGAGAATGGCTCTTGCATAGGCTGTGACTATAAGACTTGCCTTTAAGGACCTGATTTTGTTCTACCCTGCTTAGATATGTGTCCTGTGATGATTCACTCACTTTTGCAACATACTAATTAATTTGTTTTTCTTTCCGTTTTGTTCCATTTAGAGAAAAGCGGTAAAGAAACTACCTCACTGGGAATGTCATCATTACCAACTTCAGGTGGATTTAACCATCCAGCCCATCCTTCAGGACAGAGTCCTGAGTTTGGTGATCCTGCAAGTCTTGCTCACTCTGTCTCTGCTTCAGTCTGCCCTACCAAGCCCAGTGACCCAGACAGCCTTGAACCGAAAGCTAGGAAGACTTTGAAGCCTTCAGCTGAATTCCAGATGACCTCTGAAACGAAAGCACATCTCTCTCTGCAGGACCTTTCTGATGGTGTTTCTTCAGCAGACAGCACTCCAGAATACCAGAGTCCAGCTACGCCTTCGCAGAACTCATCCGAAGAAGCCATTGTCGCTGATAATCGGGAGGCGTCTCCTGCTGAAAGAAGTACCCAGGGCTTCAAGGCTCATCTCCACGTGAGACAGGAAGCTAGTTTATCTGTCACGGCTACCAGGGTGGAAAAATCACAGAGGTTTCTAGGTGAAATGGGTTGGCATCCAGAATATCAGAGCCTGATTCAAGAGAACAGCCTTCAGCAGCACGAAGAAGCAGGGAGTAAACAGCATGAGGTTGTACAACAGAATGTGCCACGTGATCATGAACACCCGTATAGCACAGGGGACCTTGATATTCCTGGAGAGAAGCAACAGAATCAACAAAAAAATGTTGACTTGGAAGCTACAGTGAAGGGAGATAGGCTGCAGCAGAATGTGGAGCTTCCAGGTACAGAGAAAAATACTCTACATCCAGGATGCTTTGGATGCTCAAATTCGGAAACGCTTATGGACGTAGATGTGGTCGAACAGTCCCTTGCTGCTGTGCTTAATTCAGCAGGCAGTCAGAAGGCCAATGTCAAGAACATTGGTTCATCTGACCTCCCTTTAGATAATCCTGTGATGGAGGTAGAAATGTCAAAATGTAACTCTTCATCTGAAATTTTGAGTAATTCTACTTCCATTCAGGATTTACAACTCCCAGAAAGTAATGCTGAAATGTCTGCAACAAAGAGAGAGTGTGGGAATTGCTCCCCTTCCCTAAGTCTTGGTGGCAGTTGTCAGTCCTCTGCGGAGTCAGCAGAGGAATCCTGCTCATCTGTAACGGCAGCCTTGAAGGAACTTCATGAACTTTTGGTCACTAGTAGTAAACTAGCCTCAGAAAGCACATCTGAAGATGTGGTCTGTCAGTCAGAAACAGTAGCGAAGGACCAAACAGGTATTGAGAACCTTTCTGAAAGATGGGCCCCAAATGAGCCTCTTACAGCTACCCCGAATGAACAGTGTTCACAGGTCTCCATTCATCAGGCCATATCTGTATCAGTGAAGGCAGAAAAGTTAACAGATGCTTCAACTGGCGCTGGGATAAAGAGTGTAGAAAACATTAATTTCATGGGTCCAGGTGATGGCCTATTAACTGATAAGGAAAGTGTCCCCAAGTCTAGGGAATCAATTAAGGAGAGCAGTTCTGTCACCGTAGCCTCAGCTAAAATGTCTAATCAGTTACACTACACCTTAGGTGTAGAAATTTCACCCAAACTTTTAGCAGGTGAGGAGGCTGCACTTAATCAAACTGCTGAGCAAACCAAGTCCTTGTCATCCAGTTTCATGCTGGTTAAAGACATGGGTCAGGGCACAGAGAATCCAGTGACAGGCAGGCCTGAAACCACAGAAGACATCTGTCCTGAAGCTGCAGGGCCACTTCTTGAATTGGAACCACCTACCAGCCGTCCATCGAGCCCCGCCATCCTGCCACCGCTGGTTGTTCCCGCCGCAGACATTGACCGGATTCTCCGGGCCGGCTTCACCTTGCAGGAAGCGCTTGGAGCTCTGCGTCGAGTTGGTGGAAATGCAGACCTTGCACTTCTTGTTTTGCTAGCAAAGAACATTGTAGTTCCTACATAACCATGGAAAAGTGGGCTGGACTGTACTCCATTCCCTTCAAAAAAAGAAAAAAAAGATAATATATATATACACACACACATAAGCACTCACCACATACACAGTATATGTAGAACCTGCAAGCAGAATGTTGAGCCAGATTTTTTTTTAAAGATTTTTTTCGGCCAAAGTAATTTATGATCTCTTGTCTGATGAATTTGTCTATTTGTTAAAATTTTGGGCCTTTTTAAATGTTTGGCGATGTGTGCATACAAAAGCTTTCTATTCTCACTGAGATGATGTATTCTGGAATAAAAGTAATGGCTTTGTGTATAGCATACCATTTTAGAATGAGAGTAAATGCTTTGAAAAACAGAAGCCATAAGAAATCCCACCACCCATGCAGCTAAAAGCAGGTCAGCTCCGCGCTGGGCTGTGTCTGTGCTGTAGGCGCGGTCCGGCTTGTTGGCTTCGTCATCACTACAAACTCGACCACATAGTTTGCTGTTTGGAATTATATCCAATGCTCTGTGTAGTATGATTCATCAATTATAACGGGAAATTGAAGAATAATTGAATTATCTCCTAGAGTGGTATGTTTTTTATTTGTGTGGTTAGGACTTGACATTTTAGTGGGGTGAGGGGGAGGGTTTAAAACTTGGGCTGCTTTGTGCATCACTGGCTGCTGCATGGATTGCCAAATGTCTTGGGTGGGATATTGTGGGGGGATTGACTTTAGCGTGAAACACGGTGCTATCCAGATTTAAAAAATGAAAAAAAATTCATTTGCTTATGTCTTGGTATTGTTGCAAGAACTGTGAGTGAAAAATAATGGCCTCAAACACTGGAATTTACTAGAGATTGGGTTGCCAGCATCTCAGTGATCACATCTCAGCTCCTCGCGACAATGGTGAACTAAAGTTCAGCTGATGGGTTGATTGCCAGCAATTTATTTCCTTTCTAACTCACCTTCTAGGAAGTTGGAAAGCTCAATTTGAGCAGTGATCTGAATGAAATACTGACGCACAATAACCTAGTCACGGGTTCATCTTGGTGCTTGGAATGGCCAGTCTGTCTGGTGAGTGTCCTTCATGGCGATGGAATAGTAGTTGCAGTTTCTGACTCAAGTGGCCTTGGTAGAGTTTTTCCATCCCTTTCTTTCCTCAGGAGTTTTTTTTTGGTTTTTTTTTTTTTTTAAGCAAGACGCGTCACATTTGTGTTTACCATGTCAAGTCAGAGTGGGGCATAGTGTATAGGTGTATTTATTGTGGCCTTTTTTTATATGAGGACTTGCCCTTGGAAATCACTGTCCTGTGGGCCCCACTGTGCAATAATCCTACTGGGTTGACTCTTCTAGGTGATTTTTTCCTTGGAAAATAAGCTCTCTCATGTACTTAGCAGGAATCTGAAATCTTGGTTTTACTGAAAGGAAGTCTGAGTGATCATTCCTGATTTCAGATTCATAGTTTGTATTTGTTCAAACAGAAGCTTCAAAGGGGTGATTTGTGAACTCAGTGTTTAATGATTTTTGGCTAACAGTCTGATTGAAAAATGATTCTTCCCATCAAAATTTAAGTCACTGAGCACAATCAGAACAGAGGCTCATATCTCAGGAGTTTTTGGAATTTTAATTTGGGGACACTTAGAGACATTGTCTTCTACTCTGTTCCACCTTATTTCTTTGTGCTCTATGTAGTTTGTGTTTTGTGAGGCGGTAATGATGTGACAGAAAGTCACATAGCTTTACCACGATCCTCTGAAGTTCAGAAATGGTCGATAGGAGTTGTCGTGTACTGTTTTCAAGGGGTTGCTCAAAACAGCAGTTCAGCCAGATTGTCTGGAAAATGTTTTTAGACAATCACATGTAGACCCTTCTGCCTGCCCTACACCAAAGATGTAAGATGCACTAAGAAACTGCTTATAGGATTTCTGTCAAGCGACTCTTAGAGCTGTGATTGTAACTAAGTAGTTGGTGCTATGACTGAAGCGAAATCTAGTGGACCCCTCTACTTGCTTTATGGGTGGTGATTGGGGATTTTTTCTGAGTTAATAAATCTGGAGGTCCTCAGAGTGGGGTGGGTGTGGAATGGGGGGGACTTGTCAGTGACAATAGACTCCTCCAATAAAGGGCTTCTGTATGAAGAGGGGCCTCAGAGTCTGTGTGTGGATAGTGGGGCACACTGCTGGAAGACTTGGCCATTGGATTTTCAAGGTGTGGAGATTTGAGAAGCAATCCCAAGTGGTGCCTGGGTTATCAGTCAAGAAAAGTTTCATTGCAATAGCTTTGTGTGTGTGTGTGTGTGTGTGTGTATTTATTTTCAGGCGAAAATTGTCTAGGCCTACAGTTGTACATATATTTCTTGTTAGAAATCCTTTAACTTAGCTTTTAACCCACTTGCCAAATAACTTTGTCCTTTTTCATCATTTATTTTTCAATGTATGATTGCTTTTGATATTTAAATCTTACTTCCTGTCCATCATTTGTATGAAAAGAAAGTTATGTTATTAGGATTTTGAACCATTTTTAAATTTAGCATTCTAGAACACAAAGGGTATTTAGAGAACATGAACCTTAAATTTTTATTCACATTGCAGAAATTAGAGATTAATTTCTCCATAAATAAGATCAAATCATTGTGAACTCCTGGTTGTCAACAGAACTGATGATGGCCAGCTATGACCAGTGTGGACATTTCTGTGGTCAGCACTAACCTGCAAGGATAGTCTCTCTTCTTCACCAGGAAGTAGGGGTTGTCCTGTGTAACTTCTGCAGTTGCCCTTAACTTGGTTCCTATGTCCGAGAATGTATTTGGCGCCCAGTCAGCTCCACGTAGGCTCTAGGTTCTGCCCATTTTGTTGGGAAAGTGTTACTTCCCCCTTGCACCTGTTTAGGCATCCAGACATCAGCCAGTGGCCTTCATCTCACAGTTTGGGCTTTAGCCACTAACACACAAGATTACCAGTTGGCTTGCCGGAGGAAGCTGGGTAGATGGTGGGTAGGCGTTAAAATTGTTTGCCTTGCAGCCTACAAAACCTTCCAGAGCTCGCCTTGTCTGTGTGTACCAAAAGGAGAGAGACACCTTGCGTTTCTCTGAAAGCATTTCTCCAGCATAAAAAAAGATAGATGGGACTTTGTTTTTTGACTTGTTTTTTGATAACCAGTTAAAGTGGAATCTATCTGCCTTCCCACAGCTTTCTGTATCTAGTAAAAGCCATAAAAACGTGGGTGGTTTTGACTTTTTAGCTTATGTGTGTATATACATGTGTGGTTGACAAATATGCTAGTGTTCATTTTACATAAATTAAAAAGCAGACCGTTTTCCTTCTATAGGTATATCCTGAGGGCAGCTTCTCTCCCGCCCTGTGTGTTAACAGTAGCTCTGCAGCTCAGCTGGCCAGGAGAATTGCAAAACATTCTTGTTTCCTTTTCCTACCTATTTCCCCCTGCAGTGAGGGTGAGCTGAGCAATGGAACTGCTCCACGTTTCAACTTCTTTATTGCTGGTGACTTACCTTAAGGCCTGCTAACGGGGCTGTGCATCCCACCATAAAATACCAAAAAGCCAGATTTCTCCTGTGATTTTAGTCTAAATCTGTGGCTGAATCAGAAAGAAACAGAAATTGATGTCAGGAGTTTACCTCCCTAGAAGATTAATGTCACCTCTCATGTTAGGAGTTCTAGAAAATTGAAAAAAGTAGGGGGTTTTACCCTGAAACAATTAAAAATGTCAATTCTTAACAGTGAATTACAGAGCACATCCTTGAGAACTGGAAACACGTGCTCACGGCTCAAGTTCCATACCTTCGTTGTCCTCCGATCAGTGTTACTAGGAGCTCATTGAATAGGAGTGAACCTTTGATGTGCTTGATTTTCTTTTGTGCCTTAGTTTCTCCAAATTGCAGAGGCATCAAATTTTGGTGGGGAATAAAAGTGCAAGTATCAGGGGGAAGTTTGTAAATGGCCCTGGAGGTATTGATTCAGAATTAACCTGTACCACTAAGTCATATTTACCCGGGTGGAAGGATGGTAAGGAATTTTGGCATCCAGTACCAAAAAATAAATGGTTTCTAGATGTTCAGGATATACTTTGTTCTATCAGTATAGTGGGTAAGGCAGAGATGTTCAAGTAAATTTTATATATTTAAGCAGAATATCGGTACTCTTTTTTTTTTTTTTTTTTTTCTTTAAGGCTATGCAGTATGAGTCTTTGAACAAGAATTCATTGATTCATTCACCAAATATCAAGTGCCTATGTGCCGGGCACTGGTGAGCACTGGAAGTACAGGGGAGACCAAAACATTGGAACCCAAGAGCAAGGTCTAGTTCGCCCGTTAGCATGTTCATATAAAAGTCATACCAGGGTGATTTAGTTCAAATTCAGAGATGATTGGGGAAATCAGTCTCAAAATGGAATGAGATGCTGTAAACCTAAAACAGCACTTTAAAAAAAAAATTCTAATGGAATCAGAGGAGGCAATCAAAATGTTCTAACATTTGGTAGAAATACTTGCACAGATGAGGTATTCAGATCAATTTATACTGGTTTGGAAGGATGAGATTGGAAATTGGGCAAAAGTGCAAATAAATTGCAAAATGGATCCTAAATCTGCACCAGGGACAGCTTCCCGTCAGGACGGCCTTCCTGCAGGGTACACTGCACCTCCCCTGGTCTCCCTTTGAGCACAGGTGGTCAGGGATACTGGCCAGCTGCACCACCGAATTTAGCAAAGGATTCTGCAGGATTTGCTATTTTAAAGCAGCTGAGTTCAAGATGGGGAAAAGGAGAATTACCCCACTATTTAAAATGCCACGATGATGTAATCCCGAAGCATACAAACAAAATTTGTGGACCTTAACTGCTAGTGACTTAGGTTTGCGGTTAGAAAACTCCAAAAAGATTTATCAATTCTGTATTGGTGATTGGTCATCTAGGCCCTCGGGCTATAAAAAATGACAGGATACTGATAGGTTTTAGGGCATTGTCTTCTGGAGTGACTTGGCACAGAAAATGGTTCAAGGCTTTTAGGGATTAGAGCATGTTCATTAAACTAAAGGAAACTTTCCTCTTCTGTACCTAAAAAAAGAGTTAAGCAAACTAAAGACCTGGGGTGATGTGGAATACAGAATTAGGAAAAGCTTTTACAGAACAATATTTCTTCAAGTGTCTACCATAAGAAAGTTTTCATTAGCAGACTTGGAGGTGAGGTATTTTTCCCAGGGAAAAGACACCTCTGATGGGAAATGATTTTGTTTACCACAGATTGGGTTGACACACAACCTTGAATGAATGCATGTGTGTCTTAACAGAAGGTAGACCTCGATCTCCCTGCCAGAGGTGGTCAGCTCAGCTTGTTCCCGATTCCTGCAGTCTGAGATTACCTGATGCTGACCAGGCTGACTTTTTCTTCCCTGAAGGCCCTGTAGCTTTCTGAGTTTATGCAACCTGAGACCTTTCCCTGTGAATGACTCCGTTTCCACCTCTAGTCTCCCGATCATCCTTTTGAAATAGTTCTGGTGATAGAGCCATTCAGCAGACTGATTGCATTTGCTAATTTCCACTGTGTACCAACGATGAGAAGGATTTGTTTGCTCTTGTTTACTCAGAACCGCATCCTCATGGCAAGTTGGGCTAATGGCCTTTGCACTCAAGGTTTGTTTACCAATTTTGTAGCCATACTTGGCAATTTTTAGCAAGTAGAATCCCCTCTTTCCCTTTCCTTCCAGTTCATCCTTGCAGTTGCTCCTGTATTGCTTTCCTGAATATTCTTTAAGCTTTGAGACTACTGCATCTTCCAAGAAGAACTAAGCTGATGGGCAAAATAGGCTTGCCAGCAGCTCAGTCACTCCCGTGATGCTTTGGTTTCGAGAGTTAGGAAAACTCTGAGGACTTAAGGGAACCAAACTCAGGAACCCCAAAGTTGGTTGCATTGTGCCACTGGTTTCGGGGCTGGGCATCGGACCTGTCCGCAGCTGAGGGAACTAGATACATTCGGTTTGAGTTTCTGTCCCATGCTGAAATGTAAGTCAGCCCTAAATAATCGAAACACTTTATTTTTTTTTTTTAATAGGAACTTTCTGAAGAAAAAGTGATGTGTAAAACATTTGATATTTAAGACAATAAAGTTTTTATCCTAAGACTCCTGTTGGGTCTTTTTTTTTTTTTTTTAAATATGTGATTACTTTTGTCCTTGTTTATCTCCCTGCCCCTTTAAATAACTTATGCTTAAATCCAGGCACTGTGGCTTGTGACCGTGTGCTTTAACCCCACCAGAAATGGGCATCTCCAAGTCATGAAGTAACATCCAGATAACGTTGCTGGAGGACAGCTATCTGCTGAGGCAGACGATGGACATCCTGTGACTGTGAGCAGCGGGGGCACAGCAATGGAAGACGAAGTGGCAGGCTTGCTAGGTTCAATTCCAACTTCGCTGCTTGCTGGCTATGTGACCGGTTAAGTTGCCTAAACTTTCTGGCCTCGGTTTCCCTGTCTGTAAAGTGGCATTGTGTCAGGGGTGGCAGGAGTTTTAGACAATACATGTAAAGTGCTTAGAACAGTACCTGGCACATGTGCTCATTAGATATTAGCTAGTAGGCTAACATCATATAAGGGATTTGAGAATGCAAAGTTGGAGTTTCCAGAAATTGTACAGTTTTAAGTCTGATGTGGGAAGGCCACTGCTCCGTGCAGCCCATCACTCAGGGTCCTAGGACACTGCTCCCTTCAACATGTAACTTCCAAGATAACATGCACATCCAGCTTGACATACCAAGAAAAGAGCATGACGGTTGTTGATGGGAGTTTTCATACCAGGCCTGAAAGTGGTGTATACCTGTAGTTGATTGGCTGGAGCTCAGTCACGTGGCCACATCGAACGCCACAGAAGGAGGAGCATAATGCACCTGTGTGCACAAGGGGAGCTTTGTTCGGTGATAAGCTGCCAATCCTTCCTGTTAACATCACATAGACCACGCCTGCCCTTTCCTCCAAGGGCATGGGCCTCATATCTCAACGTGCATTGAGCTGACCTCAAAGTCCAGAGTCCATTGAGATGCGCTGTCCTCGCCCTCAGGTCTTGATCATGACTGTTCATGGTCTGGCAGACTCTGCACTAGGGAATGTTACCTGCGCCTACCACATGTGGTGCTGGGGCAGGGAGAGAACAGCTGCCCTGGCAAATCCCATTCAAAAAACGGAAGAACAAAAATGCAAGTCACTGGCCCCAACAATTAGGACATCCTGCCTGGAGATGATGTGAAGAAGTCGGGGAAGCTCCTCTAAGAGTCTAATTACCTTCTTTTCCATTGTCTGTGGCCCCATCTGAAGTGTCAGTCTGCCCTCCTCTGGCACTGTGTGCAGCTCTCCTAGCTTCCTGGTCAGACACAGCTGGGGCCCTGAGGGTTGGGGAAGAGTCCATGGCTTGAAATTGATTTGTAGATTCTTCAGCAAAACAGTTTCCTCACTAACAGTTGGCTTCCGATCTATCTGCTCCAGTCAATTCTGCATGCCAGTAGCCACACTCAAGTACCACTCTAAACAACCCCCAAGCCTGATGACATTCTCACTTCAGTCTGCCCACGATGGGATCTTAAGTTCATCTGAAACAGGTTTTCTGCTACAGAGCTGAGTCTTACTGAGACTGGGCGTTCAAAGCCTACTTTTTTTTTTTAAGATTTATTTATTTATGCATACAAGAGCTAGGGTGTAGGTCAGAAGTGCGGGGTGTGAGAGGATTCACCAGAGAGAGTGGGGAGCAGAACTGGCGAATCTACTGAAATACACAGCGGGGAAGACAGGAGAAATCTGCTGCGCCATGTGTTAGCTCCCTAGCCAGGAATCAACCTCTTTTTTTTTTTTTTTAAGATTTATTTTTTTTTATTTATATAAGCACTGGGTACAGTCAGCAGCGCGGGAGGGTGAGAGAATTCACCAGAGCCAGAGCGGGGAGCAGAGCTGGCAGAAGGACCCAAGTACACTGCTGAGGGGAGCAGCGGGCGGCAGGAGAGGTCTGCGCATCATGTGGGACCCTCCTTCGGTGGCCGGGGAGCAACCGGGGATTGAACCGGCGCCTCTGAGGCCGCGGGCAGCTTCGCAACCCAGCGCTCAACCGCTGCGCCACCGGGGAGGCCTGGGAATCAACCTCTTGCAGTGGCTGCTGTAGCTTCGTAGTGCTGAGACTTAAACACTTGCACCATGAGGGAGGCCCTTCAAAGACTACTTTAAATTTAGCTTCCATAATCTGAAATCTAAAACAAGGATGCCAACGGTTTTTTTTTTTTCCCCTAAAGATTGTGCCTCCCTGGTAGCGCAAGGGGTTAAGCATCAGCACTATGAAGCTGTCATCAGTCACTGCAGCACTCCAACCAGGGAGCTAACCACACGGTGCAGCAGACCTCTCCTGTCTGGCCCGCTGCTCCCCTCAGCAGTGTATTTCAGTAGATCCACCTGTCCTGCTCCCCACTCTGTCTCTGGTGAATCCATTCACCCCCAACTCCGCTGGCCTACACCTCAACTCTTGTATGCATAAATGAATCCTTTTTTAAAAAAACCTCTTTTTTTTTTTTGGCGAGTCAGGGTCTCGCTATGTTGCCCAGGCTGGAGTGCAGTGGCTATTCACAGGCGCGATCCCACTGCTGATCAGCACGGGAGTTTTGACCTGCTCCGTTTCCGACCTGGGCCGGTTCATCCCTCCTTAGGCAACCTGGAGGTCCCCCGCTCCCGGGAGGTCACCATATTGATGCCGAACTTAGTGCGGACACCTGATCGGCATAGCGCACTGCAGCCCAGAACTCCTGGACTCAAGCGATCCTCCTGCCTCTGCCTCCCGAGTAGCTGGGACTACAGGCGCGCGCCACCACGCCCGGCTAAAAAAACCATTTTGAGACTCCTAAGTGAAGCGGGAACACCCTGGGGTGTTAAAAAGAACAATGTGGGGCCTCCCCGGTGGCACAGTGGTTGAGCGCTGGGCTGCAAAGGTGCCCGCGGCCTCTGCAGCGCTGGTTCGATCCCCGGGTGCTCCCCGGCCACCACAGGAGGGTCCCACATGGCGCGCAGACCTCTCCTGCCGCCCGCTGCTCCCCTCAGCAGTGTGCTTCGGTCCTTCTGCCTGCTCTGCTCCCCGCTCTGGCTCTGGCGAATTCTCTCACCCTCCCGCGCTTCTGACTGTACCCAGTGCTTGTATAAACAAAACAAACAAACAAACAAATAAATAAATAAAACATGCCTCTATTAAAAAAAAAAAATAATGTGAAGTCATTGCTTTGTGTGGGCCCTGATTTAAATGTACGTGGGCTGGCAGGGGATGTAAGGGGGATGGCATAGATCTGCCCTTCCTCGTTCTACTACCCTCCTTGCCTATGTAAAAAAAACAATGTGAGCAAAGGCTATTCTAGGGAAAGAAGTAATACATTTATCCATTTTTGCCATTTTTCAGATCTTAAATTTGAAATGAGATGTACTTGATAGGAAGAGTTCAGATTTATTGTGAAAAAATTGTGAGACATTAGTTATTAGTGGAAATAATTATCAGTCATTGGCACAGAGAAAGAATGGCCTCTTGATTAAAAAAAAAGACTAAGTATCAGGCAAGTAAATGCACTGAGGAGCTTATGGCAGGAAACTGTATCTACAACTTGGAGGAAGAAAATGTAAGAAATGGGTAGATATCCATTTAAACGTACAAAGAAATAGAAACAATGAGTTCCAAAAGAACATGATTCTAAACCTCCAAGTATGCAGTAAGAAGGGCATGTTGCCATTTTACATAAAGGACGAAATTGTCCCCAGAAACCGATTCCCTACTCAGAGCTACCCACGCACTAATGGGGTTAGTGAACCCTACCAATCCTTACCGATGGACTTTCTCCTCAAGTAAATGTTAGAGCCTGGTCTGACTTGGTTCCTCCTAGAGTTACTGAAAGCAAACGTTTTCCCTATTCTGTTTCCGGTGTCTGAAATGAAAATGCCCTGAGTCTGGAATTCTCCACCCTCCCACCCACCCGCCTTGCCCTCTCGCAGTCTCCCTCTGAGAAGCTCATGGCCGCCTCATCTTTGCATTTGCCCACTCCAAACCTTGGACCTTCCTGTCACACCTACCTGGTCCCAGGCACCACTCCTCCACCTGCTGCCTCAGGTCTCCCTGCTCCGCCGTCTCCACCTATGTTCTGTTCTCAGCACGCTGGCCAGCAGGATCCTGTTCAATGAGGTCATGACTCTCCTTAAAACTCTCCCACAGGGGGCCTCCTGGTGGCCTAGGTGTCAAGTCTCAGCGCTATCACCACTACGGCCTGAGTTTGATCCCCAGCAGGGAGCTGACCCACATAGGGTGCAGCAGACCTCTCCTGTCTCCCTGCTCCCCTCAGCAGTGTATTTCAGTGGCACCTGCCAGTTCTGCTTCCCACTCTGTCTCTGGTGAGTCCTCTCACCCCACCCCCTTATACCTCTGGCCTACACCCCAGCTCTTGTATGCATAAATAAATAAATCTTTAAAAATAAATAAATAAACCACATGGAAGATCAATCGGGACACTAGCAAGCGGCATCCCTCTGCTAATGGCCATATCCCATCCATTATCTCTCTAGAACAAAAAGGCCCAAGTCAGTCGTAAAGAGACACAGCCTTAATAGTTGGCCTATTTCTGTCCTTTTCCTTTTGGGCCAGCTAGACATTTTTCAGCATCCCTACTGAATTAAAAATTAACCAGACACTATTAATCCAATAAACAGTGAACGCCATATCCCTTGGTACTGGAAAAACAATGTGGAATGGGCTGAGCAAAGCTGTGCATTCCCAGGGAACTCACATGATAGCAGTTTTGTTGAAGAGTGACAGCAATGCCAGGGAGTAGTAAGATCTACTGTGAAAATATGCTAGATTGGCCTGCTGGGAGGTCCTAGAAGTGACTCACTGTTGAGTGATTGAAGGGAGAGTTCTTCTGAGAAGTGAGCATTTCTGTTGAGACCTGAGTCTTCCGTCAGGTGAGCACTCAGGATATGTGATGTTAGGCCAGGCTAAGGGAACAGAGAGGCCGAAAGTTCCAACATTGTATTACAGCAGACATTTTTACCTTACATCTTGCCTATGTTGCAATCCAAAATACGTGTTCCTGGTGGCTGGGCAACTCGCCTCCCTG